TTTCACACAGACGATGGGCTTTTCTGGCACCCTCAGAGCTCTGCACAAGAGAGGCAGGAAAGGAAGGTGCAGGGGACAGAGGGAGCGGGACAAGCTGTACCTGCAAACTGGTGGGGGCCTCTAGTTGGGACAATAATTGATCATGGGGCCAAACGGAAAACAGACTCCCGAGGGAGGCTTCTGGGGTACTGTGGGAGGGATTCAGCTCTTTCCTTCTCACTAAGACCCAGAGAATGAAGTTAATTGTCCCTCTAGATGTCGAAGGGTAGACTATTTGTGAAGTGACAAAGTTCTTTCATTGCGACAGAAGATATCACAATGGATGTGGGAAGACTAGAGCTTCTGAGCTCCTGAAGCTGGGGCTCGGTGGAGCCATCAGACGCATCTCTGGCAACTGGCACTTTGCACTTAAGCCTCCATCCAAGCCTTTGCTGTGCAGGGGAGGTAATGCTCGCCCCACACTGAGGGCACAAAGCATGCTGTGCTGTGGTTTAAAAAAAAGGCACAGAATAAAAAAGAAACTGTTTAAGCTTCAAACTAAAAAGAAGCAACTGGCTCCAGCCATTGAAATGTTTTATAAAGCAACAGCAAGGAGAAAAAAAATAAAAAATGAAAAACTGTCCCAGAACTCTGAGAGAGGGCCAAAAATATTAATATACAGGAACATGGCGCACCCCCTGCAAGCTGTAAATATTGTCTTCGTTTCCCACGTCCAATCAGCAGGTCTGGCAGTCCTTTCCCTCCCTCAGCATTTCCTGTTTGACATCTGTGCCGAATAACACTTTTTCACACACACACACACACGCACACACAGTGTTAGGTGAAGACATTGTGTCTGCCAGAGGTTCATGAATTTCTGGATTCAGGTTATCATAGTGAAGAGGTTTCAACCCCTAGAACCAGGAGAGAAGGTAAAGTATATTGCAAATCAAAGAAAACACAGACCACTAGAAATATAAATAAATAGAATTTTATGTACACAAATGCATTAAGTTGCTGAGTATGGTACATACACCAGTGAAGAAACTCACTGAGAGGAAGGTGGTCAGATAAGAGGCAGGACACTCAGTTCCCAGCTACATTTAATAAACAGCAAATGATTTCTTGGTATAAGCAGATATAGCATGCTCCCAGAAATTCAAATGTAGCTGGACCTCCTGCATTTCTAGTTGCTGAATCGGACAACACTGCTGAGGGGAGGCTCTGTGTTTGTGCTAATTCAGGGTCAACAGCACACACCCAGGAGGACGTGAGTGGAGGCTCTGCGCACACTTGGGTAGAGCAAGCCAGTGCCCATCGGTCAGGAAGGAGTCTCCAGGGAGGTCAGGGAGCTGGTGTCTGGGGGTCTCTGCGTGATCTGGGTGCTCTATAACCCTCAGCCTCCTCAAACCACAGCAGGTCTTGATGTCACTCAGGAGTGTCACTAGAAGGAGAAACTTTGCTTCATGCAGACATCACCTTGGGAAAGCCCGGCCTGAGCTCCGTCCCAGCTGTTGTTTGCTGCTTAGATTTGACACCCACAGACACTTGGAAATCCAGAGGGTAAGGGCATCCTCATGAATCAAGAGAGGGGGAGACCAGGATACGTGGGTCCCATCTTCCTGCAGGGTCCTGCCCCTCAGAAGAGTGCCCCATAAGCCCCAAGTTCATGGTGAGACGGGGGCTTGGGGGTTTGGTTCAGATCCTCTCTGTTCCCCTGCTGTTTGAGCCTGTTTTCCCTCCTGCAAAATGCTCGCAAATGAACCCCACCTCCAGGACGAGAATGTGGGGAGGCGCCCAGCCAGGGCCGGCGAGCGCTGGCGCCAGGAAAGTTCCTCGGGGTGGGCCCGGGAGCAGCCCCTGCCAGTGTAGCTGTAGTTCCTCTCTCCTCACTTCTCCAGAAAGAAGGGATCTGCCTTCCAGGCCAGTCCACCAGTCAGCCACAGCCTCGCCTTCAAGACGGACATCCTCAAAGCAAGAAACTGGTCCATCGAAGTCCCATTTCCAGCTCCCCACACTCCGTGGGCTGAGGGCCCTGAACCAGGACAGCCTACACGCTCTTCCTCAGGTGATGCTGTCCTTTACTCATGGGCGCCAGCCGTCCAGGCACCGTGAGGAGCCCTGTACATCGCTCCTCATAGCTTCCCGGGGTCCCTACAAGCTCATTTTACAGATGAGGACACTGGGCTCAGACGGGCTGACCGACTCTCCGAAGGTCACTGGCTCTGCATAGCAGCAGAGCCAGGACTCGAGCCCACACCCAACCCCAAGGCCTGTGCACTCTACCCATTTCCCATCCTGGACCCAGCCCCAGGGTGCCCTGGGCAGATATATCAGAGCAAATGGGCAAGACTAGCAAACTCTTATTCTTCAAAATCCAGCTCACTCGTCACCTTCTCCTCACCTTTCTGCCTCCCCCAGGCTCGCTCTGAGCCACACGCATCCCACCGCAGCTGCACAGCTGGCCGCACTCACATCCCTGTCCCTGCTCGACTGGCGTCCTGGGAGGCATGGTGCTTGCATTTCCATTTCTGCTCTGGCCACGCTTCGGGGAGCTCGAAGCTGCTCTGGCCTCCTGAGTGTTCTTGAACCTGAACACGCCAGGCTGGTTCTGCCTCCGGACCTTTGCCCTGCCCTTCCCTCCTCTATGGAAAACCTTTCCAGTCCCTTTGCACGGGTCCCTCCCTCTGTGCTCAAAATGTTCCTCTCAGGGAGGCCTTTACTAAAACAGTCCCGTAACAGAGTCCCCCCCCACACCCCTCACCCGGCTCTGTCCCCGGCAGCCTCCTTTCCTGCGCTGACCTGCTCCGCAGCTCGCAGCTCTCCCGGCCTTGTCCTCTGTGCATCTGTCTCCTGCTTCCCGTCTGTCCTCCCTGCAGATGTGTCAGCCCCAGGGGGACAGCCAGCCTGTCGGCTTGTTCCCTCCTGGACCCCCAGGCACGTAGGAGGCGCGCAGCAAGCATGTGCAGGATGAATGAACCCTCGGTGCCTGGCTTGTAGAGACATTCAGTAAACGAGTTTATTCTTAATTAATCACTTTAACAGAATCCTCATCGAAGCCCCTGAGGGAGAAGCGCCGCCGCTTTCCCACTCCATGGGTCCTCCTCTCTTCCAAGCCGTCTACTCATGATGCACAATTCTCCCCAGGACATCTTCCTTCCTGTGGCAGGGATGGTGGCCTCAGAGAAAAAAAAGGCCAGGAAGAAAACCCCGGGCCAGCCGGACACCCGTCCACCCCAAGGCGTCCGGCCCAGCCCGAGGCCTGGCTCAGCCTGGGCCCAGTGTTACACACTCACTGGTAGCCCGTTCAGCTCCGCTCCAGCCCCGCCTGCCCCCCACTATTTTGGCTGATCAGGCAGTTGGGACCACCCCAGTCTTGGGCCTCCACCCAGCATTTCCAACAGCCAAGAAGACCATCAGGTGCCTTGGGTGTGGAGAACATTGTTACGAGAGGAAAACACATCCCCCCAAGCACCCCGTAAAGGAGGAGGTCAGCGAAAGGAGGGAGGGAGACCCACCGGGGAGAACCACGGACCCCAATGGAAGCTGAAAACACCCACAGAGTGGCGTGGGGATTGCGGGGAGCTGGCCTGCAGGTCAGCGGGAGCTGCCTCTGTTCCCCCTGTGCCATGAGGCTCCGGATACCCGCACGTCCCCTGGCCGCTCAGGCAGAAAAATGTTCCCCCGCCCCCTGCGGTGGACCCACTTACCCTTGCCTCTTAGACCCATTTTCCAGTTCCAGGCGGTGCGGTGGAAGCCTTGAGGGTCAACCAGTCAGTCGCCAAACACAGATTGAGCGCCCCAATGGTGAGGGTCCTTGTGGATGGGCATGAGAGTGTGGGGGACAGGGCCCGGAGAAGACGGGACCTGTGAATTTCGTTTGGGGATTGTTATAAAGAGCAGATGTCAACAGAAATGCACACACATGTCGTCCAGAGGCCACCTGCAGTAACTGTCAGAGCAGCACTTTCCCGGCGGCCCAAACTCCAAAGCCCGAAGCAGCGGGACGGAAACGGACACGGCCGGCTCCGCTCAGCCGTGCGGGTGAACCCCAACAACGGGACACGGGCCCAGGAAGCCAGGCACAGTCCCAAAGCGGTGAGGCTGAGCGTCCCAGTCCCCGGTGCAGGCGCCGTTAGAGGGCGCTCCGACGGGCGTGCCGCCTGGCGCCCGGCTGGGCGCCCCTGTCGGGCGGGCGCCTGCATTACGGGTCTAAATTTTAAGGCAGGCGGGCGTTAGGTCCTCCCGCGGAGAAGGTCGCGGGCCGCCCAGGGCGCAGAGCGGGGC